CCCCAAAACCCCAAAACCCCTTGAAGCATTATTAATAAGAATCTTCAGTAAATTCAGATAAAAAATTGTTCATAAGAAAAATAAATATTAGAAACCAATCAGTAAGTACCAGAGGGAGTAACTTTTCAGGCAATGAACAATACATTGAGATTGCTATTTCTAATTATTCCATTTGCTACTGATCCAAGGTATCTCTTATCAGAATGAGATGAGAAATCAGCACCATTGTTACCTACAGCAACAAAATCAATGTAGTTTTCAGCAGATCCTTAGCTCATCAAGAAGTCAACAATAGTTGCGTGTACCAAATCATGTTCGTTGTTTTTCTTGATCACCTAAAATTTTCCATTGACCTAAAATATAAATTAACGCGCTGTGATTAATTATTATTCTTACGCCTTCTTAATTGAAGTGTTCTTCTATCAATTATTAAATTGCAGGAATATCAATGCCTTTGCTAGCAACTGTGATGGCTAAGACCTCATCTTTGCTTTTATCTAGTAATCTGGCAAGCACGTGAAAAGCTTTGATTGATTTTTCAGAGCCATCAGTACATACTGCCCATCTTAGTTTCCCTCCTGGTTTTTATGATCTAATAGTTTTATCTTTAAGCATCAAAACAGGGCAGAATGTGTTTAATGACAAATGCTGAACAGCAGATCCTAGTACAGTGGGGTCTCTATATATTAATTGATTATAAATACTAATCCTACGCTTTAGGCCCTTTTCTTCCATGCATTCCTACTACTAAGAGATCTACATTGTTTGATTTAGCAAGATTAAGAACATGCTCTTTTGTTGTATATTAGGGGTCATTTTCTTCCCAAAGAAGCTTTGCTCTTGCTCCATATCCAATAATCAATGAATCATAAGTCTGTCTGATAGTGTCTGCATGCATGTTAAAGGGTAAATAAGATTTTGATCTATTGAATACGTGAGCTATTGTCAAGATGTCTTCTGGGAAATGGAATAAGCTCTGAGTTACAACTTCATAAGCATTGTGAGATGCTTCTGATCCATCTACAGCGACCATATAAGTATGATGTTGAATTGACTACATTTTTAGATTTTTATTTTATTTTTATGATTTTATTTGGATATCACTCCTGACGGGGTTTTGGGGTTTTGGGGTTTTGGGGTTTTGGGG